CCAAACTCTCAATTTACCCTGTATTTTTTTGCCATCAGGTCCAGTATTTTGGGGAAATTGGGCTGGGAACACCTCCACAAAACTTCTCTGTTGTCTTTGACACGGGCTCCTCCAATCTCTGGGTCCCATCAAGGAGATGCCACTTCTTCAGTGTACCTTGCTGTGAGCTTTCAGGGGAGAATAAGGCTCAGTAGGGGTGAAGGGAGAAGGTGGGGCTGGGCCTCAGCTTCCCCTAGGTTTTGGAGAAATCGTTCTTTTCTGATGCCCTTATGTTAGGTCAATGGGGCAGAAGGCATTGGGGAGACTCCCTTCCTCCAGTGACATCTCTCCTTTTGACCCAGGGTTCCATCATCGCTTCAATCCAAGTGCATCTAGCTCCTTTCGGCCCAACGGGACCAAGTTTGCCATTCAATATGGAAGTGGACGGCTGAATGGAATCCTGAGCGAGGACAAGCTGACTGTGGGTGACCTTTCACTCCAGGAAGGCTTGAGTTTGGGGAAACCTGGATGCCTAAGACTTTCAGGCTTAGTGATGGGCTTGAGGAGGTGTGGTTTTCTGAGCAGATAGTTGAAGCTTTTCAAGTGTGGAGGTGGGCTCTTCTGAGTGAGTGGGTGGAGCTTCTCAAGAGGGAAGCGGGGCTTCTTGGGTGGAAGGGCAGAGCTTCTCAAATAGGGAGGCTAAGTTGCCTAGGCGGTTGGGGCTTGTTTCCAGATAACCTGGGATTCATGCATTGGTTTGGAGGATCTCTGGGACATGTCTTCCCAGAAGTAATTGTCCCCATCTCGATCTACCCCTAGATTGGAGGACTCAAGGGTGCATCAGTGGTTTTTGGGGAAGCTCTGTGGGAGCCCAGCCTGACCTTCACTTTTGCCCACTTTGACGGGATATTGGGCCTTGGTTTTCCCACTCTGGCCGTGGAAGGAGTTCGCCCTCCACTGGATGTATTGGTGGAGCAGGGGCTACTGGATAAGCCTGTCTTCTCCTTTTACCTCAACAGGTATTAGGGGAGGGGCTACCTATCTGTGAGTCTCACTCTTGATTCAGGAAGTCACT